TGAAGCTTTGAAACTTCGTGCAATGGTAGGCCTTGATGAATAATGTTTAAAAATATAAAAAAACTGAAAATCGAAAAAAATATGCTTTAACACGGTAGAGTGTTACATTGTACTTCGTGGTGTTGGTGACGATATCTGGCAATGGTTCCCCCACTGAGAATATATCTCTTTTTGTTGACAGTTTTCTCAAGCCTCTAGTGCCACAGATTCCGTCATATATTCATGACACTCCTGATTTCCTCCGTAAAATCTCATGTATTCAGAACCAGGTCCCCAACACAGCTATCATCGGTACTTTTGATGTGTCCTCTTTGTACACCAACATTCCCCAAGATGAAGGGATTGCTGCCTGCTCTTCAGCTTTGGCTAAGAGCAGTCACACCTCACCGCCCATTTCTGATATAGTATCCCTCATGAACCATGTTCTAACTAAAAACAATTTTTCGTTCATGGGTAAGAATTTCCTACAGGTACATGGCACCGCTATGGGTACACGGATGGCACCATCAATGGCTTGCCTATTCATGAGCCAACTTGAACAGCGCATGTTGGCTTCAGCCCCGTGCCGTCCCTGGGTCTGGTGGCGCTATATTGATGACATCTTTTTCATCTGGACCAGTAATGAATCTAGCCTCACAGCATTCATTAATCACGTCAATTCCTTCCATAGGACCATCAAATTCACAACCGAATACTCAACCAAGGATACCCACTTTCTGGATGTCAAGGTTCTAAAGACGGATGATGGTTTGATCACAGATCTCTTTGTTAAACCCACAGATAAACACCAATATCTCCACTCAACCAGCTGTCATACACAGGAACTTAAGAAACACCTCGTCTCCCGGGGTCATAGCTCCCTGGCAGTCCATCGAGCAATCCAGAAAGTCAAGGCTCGCTCCAGGGAGTCAGTCAGGCGCAGGGGGGGGGGGGGGGGGGGGGCTGTAGCCCCCCCAAAATTTTGTCTAGCCCCCCCCAAAATAAATTCCGTAAAAAAAAATTGCATTAGCAAAAAGAAGGATTGTGATGTACATGCAAACGGTCTCCCCCTAAAGAAATAGTCGTGACAAGGGTGCATTAGTTAATATAGTGTGAATGATTTTATGATTGTATTGGCGCTCCCCATTGAAAATATGGCACGAGCCCTCCCCCCCCTCCCTCCCCCCCCCCCCCCCCCCCCCCCCCCCCCCCTATTGATTTTCTCGGAGGCCTAAGTGTCTGGAAAAAAATAACCGGTCAACATTTCAGCACGCCTCCCTGAAAAAATTCTGGATCCACCGTGCTAGCCCCCCCCAAAATATTGGTTCTAGAACCGCGCCTGGAGTCAGTACTTTAAAAAAAACCTGTGCAACAACAGAGTTCCAAGGAGAAAGTTCCCTTTTTTGTCACTTTCCACCCCTCACTTCCCCCCATTCGTACAATAACCAGTTCTAACCATCATATTCTTCACACATCAGATCGACTTCAACGTGCTGTACAAGAAGAACCCATAGTTGTCTACAGACGGCCACCCAGTCTCAGGGATCTCATTGTCCGGGCAGAAGTCCCCCCCTTTAATGATAATGTTAACCCCCCTTTTCCACAGGGAACTTTCAGGTGTCCCAACACCTCCAAATGCATCGTCTGTAGACAACACATCAGAGAATCGGACTCCTTCACCAGCCATACCGGTGGTACCGCCCATAGGACAAGGGGTCATGTCACCTGCACCACCACTAATCTAATGTATTTAATATCTTGCAAAGTTTGTGGTGTTCAATATATAGGTGAAACGAGAACTACACTCAAGAGACATTTCTACGGCCACAGATCCACAGTCAACACCCATAAGCTGGATACACCCGTAGGACATCATAAATTTCAATCTTCCTAATCACTCAATTTCTGACATGATTTTACAGGGCATTGAGGCACTAGGAAACCACGGAGAGATTGTTCATCTGAGTAGAGAGAAATTATGGATAAGACGTCTCCAGACCATTCAACCCCATGGTCTGAACATCCAAGAAGGAAATGACTAATAACTTTTTGTCTTTGCCTTCTCCTTTTCACCACAGATAAGCCCCCCCTCCAGTCTGCCTCATTCACCAATTAACTACCTTTCTCTCCCTCTCCCCATCATTGACTTTGTCCTTTGTGTTCCCCACCTCTTGTGGTCAACCATCCCCTTCCCCCAATCCCCCTCCCTTTTGTTACCCTCCTTTCTTGTCAGCCACCTGCTTTCTCTGTGTATTTTCCTCTGCATCATCTATTTCCACTTGACTGCTTTTGTTACATCAGTAATGTATACTTGTACCTGTTTATGTTTATAGTCTTGTCATTTAGCCTTCGAGAAAGACTCTGCAAGGGTCGAAACGTCAGGCCACTTTATATCTAGTTTAGATGGCACACATCCTGGGCCCACTTTCTTCAAAATTTGTATTGCGTCCTCCGTTGACGCATACTTGACTGTTGTGTTGCAATCTGGTATTCCATCGTTTACGGAACCATGTTTAGGATGAGACAAATGATGAATTATTCAAAATGAACCAGGCTGTTTTTTAGGAACTAAACCAATCGAGCTAACGCAAAAATTATCAAGTGGCAAGTCTTGAAACGGCCTGCGAGCCTACCTTGTCTAAGTTCTAACCCTAGTTTTTCAGAAACCACTTTTGGATTTTGAAGAGCACATTTTAAATTTGTTGATGTCCTAAATTTTTGATTGCCTGTAAAACCTAAAAACCAATTGTAAAACCATGAATTAAGAATTTGTACTTAATGCCATCATAGCCTTGTAACATAGTTTAGTGGAACGCCCACATAGACTACATTGTGTCTAAGGCTGGTAAACAGCTGTACATGTTATATCAACTCAAACGTGCTGGTATAGGCCAAAGAGACCTACTTACCATTTACCTATCTGTGATCAGGCCTGTGTTGGAGTATGCATGCCAAGTTTGGCATAGCAGCCTACCAAAGTATCTGTGCAATAAAATTGAAATGGTTCAGAAAAGAGCTCTCAGGTCCATCTACCCAGGTCAAAGTTATGAGAGTATTCTCCTTAGGGTGAAACTACAACCACTGCATGAGAGGCGTAGCGAATTATGTAAGTTGTATTTCAACAAGCTCAAAGATAACAGGCACAAATCACATCACCTACTTCCAGCTCCCCGTCATATGAATTATTCCTTAAGGTCTGCTCCTCAATTCCCTCTCCCACGCACCCGAACAAACAGGTTTAAGAATTCCTTCATCCCGTGGTGTCTATTTAATCAATAGTGTTGGGTTTTAATGGCTTTTTAATCTATGTTTTTGGGTGTTCCTTCCACATTTTAATTGGTGTAATGTTCTTGTACTTATTCCAGTAATATGTTTACCTGTTTGGTGATCATATGCTCGCTTAGCTTATGATTGTTTTGTGTATGACTGATGTCCTGTCTGTTTATAAAAGTGTGTTTCTTAGCCGGCTTCCTGTTATAGGCTGTCGTTTCCTTGTTGTGGTGTCTGTCCATTTGTTTGGTCTGTTTGTTCGATTGTCTTTCCTGTTTTGGTCGTTTGTCATTTGCTGGTTGTTTGTTTGCTTGATGGGGGTGTTGGGGCGTTGTTTGTTTGTTTGTTTGTTTGCCTGCTTTTGATTGTTTGTGCGTCCTATTGTTGAACTTTGTACGGTTAGTGTTTGTCATGTTGTCTGCTTTTGATTGCCTGCTTTTGATTGTTTGTGCGTTCTATTGTTGAACTTTGTACGGTTAGTGTTTGTCATGTTGTTTTTCTACCTGGCGTAAATTAAGTACATGTTTTTAAAATGTTTTTGACTGTAGGCTATAATAACATTTTTAATAGTTTCACTGTCAATCCATTTTATCTTGTAATTTATATGGCCATATTTGAATATAAATTTTACTTACCTGTTCTAACCTCAGTTACATTTTTATTCGAATAAGTTAATTATTGGTTTTATAGTTTATGTGATGTATTTTGTCATTTTTGATGTAGTTTATAACGAATCCAACCCGTTTATGGTTGCTAATAAATTGATCCTTACCTTACACTCAACTGATCGAACGGAAATTTGGGCCCAGACAAGTTTTAAAATCTCAAGTATTCGTCTCCAAATTTACAATTTCAAAGTTATAAAATGGACGTCACAATTAGAAAGAGGATTTTACATGAGCTGCACTAAAATTATTTGAGATTCTAAAATTCAGTAATCAATGCATTCAGAAATCTAATCAGTAAAATAGCTCACGATATCTAGATGAGTTGTACCCGTAATTCAATTATTCAATTCCACAAAATGGCATAGTCCAATCTAGGTTGATCACTTAAGTCAAATTTATCACTCAATTCTATTAAATCTATCAATTCTTCAAATTTTCAATTCTCAAATCTTCACCTCTTAATTATTCTCTAATTTTCAATTTCTGCACTTTTCTTCAAATTTCGTGAATCTTTAACTCAAACACTCCTTGTTTGACATTTAGTGTTTTATCACCACAATTTATTCTAATAACCTTAATTCTCAACTTGTAACAATTCACAACTTCAAATCACCAATTTATCCCGTGAAATTTCAAACTTTCACTTCTTAAACTTCAATCACAAAATCTTTGTTCAATCTCAAAATTTCTCAATTCGTTTCTTAGATTCACTTATTAATCACCGTATCTTCAATTTGACCTCAAAATTAACAAATCGTAATTCACTTCAAGTTTATCAATTTTCTCTTCTGTTTAATTTGAAACCTTTCTGTTTCTATCACAATTTACTTTTTCAATAACACTTCTTTAATTTTTGTTCAAACACTTCTTCCAATTTCGGTTCAAACACTTCTTTAATTTTGGTTCAAACACTTCTTCAATTTCGGTTCAAACACTTCTTCAATTTTAGTTCAAACACTTCTTCAATTTTAGGTCAACCTTCTTTTCTTTCTGTATTAATCTCAATTCATTCAGATTACCAATACCACATCAAATATTATCTTCGGGAAAATTGAATAATTATTAATCCTTCTTTCAATCTTGTTGATTTAAAAATATTAACACTCTCACATTCAAAATCCAAATCAAGTTTATGGTATTTCGCCAGTTATTTTATACAATCATAAAGGTGACTGCCGCCAGGTCCTTGTCAGCCTGCCAACTGTCTATGCAGCATCACTCAGATTCCGGTCCAAGGGGTCCGGTAGAGGTAGGGGTCCTTGACAAGAGCTTCAGTTCCTCAGGGTAGTGCGAGGCTCACTCTACTCGGTAGAAATATCTCCCCATTCTTTGTGCCATCTGAGATTAGAAATTTTACAAGCCAAAACCCCACTAAGATTCCGCACCATTTTTAGCAAGTAAAGAATTCAATCTCAGATTTTACAATTAAATCAATTCACTTCTAATTAATACAAGAAATAAAGTGGGCAAAGAAAATAATTTAAACTTACAGTTAGCATCTTCGAAACTCTCTCGGAGTTGCATACAATGTCAGCTTTTTATGCAGACCACAGACAAGCAATATTTACCTTTTAGCGTTTAAATGGCCTAGATTTGGGGAAATCTTTCCCATCATCCAAACACTTGTTGCAGACTGGCAACACAACTCTTTATTTTTCGCGTAATTAACGCAGCTCTCCTTGGACCACCAGTTGTCTCTGCAACGCAGAAACAACACACTCAAATTTATCCGCATTATAAATATAAACGGTCGAAAATGACCGAAGATCCCCATTTGCCCTTGATGGAAACCTGTACGCTTCGGTACCGGGCGCCATGATGCGACGGCGTACGCGCGTAACCACGGGCCGGGGGCCGGCCGGGTCGCGTCGGCCGCCGGGGTTACAGAATAGTTTACCATTTTTAGAATAAATATATATCAATTGTTATCGTGTAAAATAGTGGAAAATTAATTAAAATAATTTATATTATAATGAACTATTTTCAATTGTATTTTCAGTAGTGTATGTAGCAGTTCGCGCCGTGCAACAGTCTAGGACGAGGCTATACATGTACTGTACATGTACATGTGCATCTATCATGCATGCATGGTGCATCGATCTCCGCACGCGCACTGCCTGTAGGCCTGCGCGATCTTCTGCATGTTCGTTGTGTCATGGAGAGGAAGGTGCTAAACATTGTGCACTCCAAAGTTCCACGCGCGCTATCGTCATACAACTGAGGAGAAACGTTCAGAAATGGTTTCAAAACGTATTTAAAATTCATTTCTATAGATTTTAATTATATTTCTTCCCTTCAAAAAAAAATAAAAATATCCAGGGTCGGCCGCATTTTTAGGGTCGGTCGGGTTACGCCAACATAACACTTTTTTTTTTAGGCCTAATCACATCATAAATTTGAAGCCATTTTAAAAACTGATATTCTCGTTTGACAACAATGTAAAATGGCTTAATAATGTAACTGGAAGTGCCTATTAGAAACTGAATTTGTCCTAAGCACCCTTTTCCTAGCAGTGAAAAAAAGACAAGCTCATCTTTTACCTTTATATGCAACATCCATAAACTTATGTAATTGGCCCATTAGAACCCTCCGATGCAAACATGCATTCTTAGCCATGCTGTTACTCGGGTCAAAATCAGTCAAGTGACCGTTTTTTGACCCGATGGAATTCTATGCATAGAACTACATTATTGACCCGTTTTGACTGCTTAAGTAACTGGCCATGAGAATGACTTGACCAACTGTGACCCGTAGAACAGTTGTTGATAATGAATATTTGCTGACTGTTATTGACTCGTTAAAGTACTGTCATAGACAGTAAGTTGCTGGTATTGACTGTTTGAAACATGATCCCTGTCAAAACAGCTGTGGGTGCTAAATTGCTGTTGACTGTTTTTGACTTGACAGTCCTTCTGATTTGAAAATCACAGGCGTGTGGGAGAAGGCACACCTGGACTTTTCTAGGTGTGTATTTTTCTAGGTGTGTGATTTTCTAGGTGTGTGATCTGTGTGTAACCAGGGAGAGTGGAATTTATTAGTTTAAAATGTGGCACTCTCCTTTCAACCGAGGGGTTCCACTAAAAAAATGATTTGGGTAGAGCGAAGTTTTCTGTTGTCTCAAAAATATGAAATGTTTTATTTATAGTACAAATAGAGACAATATATATACAAATGATCAGGTACAGCATTTACAAAAAGAATTATATTAGGAAATTTGGTGAGTATATAAAAACGGAACTTTGTTGGGTATATAAAAACAGCACTTTGTTGGGTATATAAAAACAGCACTTTGTTGGGTATATAAAAACAGCACTTTGTTGGGTATATAAAAACAGCACTCAAATAGGTAAAATAGGGTGGTGAACTGTCACTCCAAGGATGGTATCACTTGGGATGGTCTACGTTCATGCCTTCTCCGTGTCCGATGTGAAAATCGACGATCAGCAGTGAAAATAGATGAAAATATTCTACTGCAGTATAGGGAGCCTCTCTCAAAATTTGTAGATATATGTGGAAAGTGCAAGAGCTCGTAAAAGATGGTCTGAACGCAACAAGGTGTTGGATCGAAATCAAAGTTATTTCGCAGCTAGCCCTTCAAGAAAACTATACCGAAACGCCCGGAATGTCAGCTATTTCTCTTAAACAAAGCGCGGTGGAATGCTAAATTCGCATGCTCGCTACGCCCATCGCATAGTTGAGCAAAATTCTAGGCGGTGCGCGCTGTAAAAAAAAGTTTAGTTGGCCGCGAGAGGGCGCTAGGCAAAAAGCATGATCGCAATGGCTGCTCACATGTAAAATGACACAAACACGAAATTACAAAAGTTATGAAATGAATGCTGGAGTAAGGAACCTGTCGGGTAAAAGTAAGTACTGAAACCCGACCTGGTTACATGTGGTCCAGAGAAATTCAGGCATGCAATTGTTCACACTTCGCGGGAAGCTTTTAGGTGTGCGATGGTGTGGGGGTGTGATCGCACGCCTCAAATCAGAAGGACTGACTTGACAAAGTGCTGTCCACAGTTGGTGTTTGGTATTGACTGAAACATGATCCCTGTCAAAAAATCCCCCCCCCCCTCCAAAACAAACCCCTACCTATTACCCTGTTTTCAAATGCCATGTAATTGGAAGCAGAACTTTTTGGGTGGGGGCCTATTGGTATTGTCAGCAATTGGTAAGTGGCTGGTATTATCAAACAGCTGTGGCTACTGTGTGGCTGTTGATTGTTGTATTGACCTGATAAAGTATTGTCTGCAAGTGGCAGGCATTGTCAAACAGCTGTTGCTACTGTGTGGCTGTTGATTGTTGTATTGACCTGATAAAGTATACTCTGCAAGTGGCAGGCATTGTCAAACAGCTGTGGCTACTGTTTGGCTGTTCTGCTTTTAGGCTGTGTATAGGCCTCCTCTGAACAGGAACAATCAAGTCACAGAACAAAGTTAAATGGGCCATCTGACTCTGTTATTATGTTTGTGCACAAATGAGTTTTGGTAGCAGGGCTTTGCTTTGTGGAGTTAATTCAATGTTTTCTTTCCCTTTTCGAGCCCTGGCACGAATACAGCTCAATAATTCAAATGTTTCCTTTCGTAATTTGAATCCTTTCAGCAAAGTGAGGACCACTGACTGATGAGGGAATTGCTCTACTGAGATGAGGATGAGCCTGCCTCAAGACATTGTCAGGGCTCCGACAGCCTCATCAAACAGAAACCCGAGGAACCGGAAGCAGGAGGAGGACCGACAGATGAACGGATGACCTGCTTGCTGGGCTACCCATTACTGATTCTTGAGGTTAGTTTTTAGTTACATGTACCTCAGGCCAAAAAAAAAAGTCTCCGGTTTCTGGTATGGAGCTTGCCCAAAAGTGGTCCGGCGACGAGGCTTTTTTTTTTTTTACCTGATTTTTTTGCTTCAAATGTCGGCTGATGACTGCAAATGGTGCCCGACTAAAGTTAGTACAAATAGGCCTATATGGGATTGGGAGTCCAGAGAGGCCACATAAAGCTTATTCTCAACCATAACCCCAACTACAAACACGTTAAAATTGTGCAGCAGCAGAATTCCAGTCAAACCAGTGAGTTTGGCGGTTTTGAGACTTCATCTTTCATTGAAAAAAAAACTTTTTCATTTTGCCGACGCGCATGGCTACGGCGACGCGCGCGCATACCAGAAACTGGAGACTTTTTTTTTTGGCCCAAAGAATAAGCAGAAACAAGTAATCAAACTGGGTGATCTGGCGCTCTTCTATGTTCTCCCACAAATAAAGAGTGCTGGTAGTGGGGCACTGCTTTGTGGGGTTAATTCGAACATTTCTTCCCCCCCCCCACCTCTTGCTCTACCTTTCAGATATTTCTTAATAATGATAACCCAGTCAAAACCTAGAAAACTCGGAGTCATTGTGAAGATGTACCCTGGAGGAATGCTATCAGTCAAAACCTAGAAAACTCAGAGTCATCGTGAAGAATTAGTTGATATTTTATAATGAGGATTTAAACATATATACAGACTGGACAATTGTCACAAAATGTCTCTCCCTGTTTATACATTACCCTAATCACATCATAAAATTTGAAGCCATTTTGAAAACTGATATTCTCGTTTGACAACAATGTAAAATGCCTTAATATTGTAACTGGAAGTGCCTATTAGAAACTGAATTTGTCCTAAGCATCTTTTACCTTTATATGCAACATCCATAAACTTATGTACTTGGCCCATTAGAACCCTCCGATGCAAACATGCATACTCAGCCATGCTGTTACTTGGGTCATAATCAGTCAAGTGACCGTTTTTTGACCCGATGGAATTCTATGCATAGAACTAAATTATTGACCCGTTTTGACTGCTTAAGTAACTGGCCATGAGAATGACTTGACCAACTGTGACCCGTACAACAGTTGTTGATAATGAATATTTGCTGACTGTTATTGACTCGTTAAAGTACTGTCATAGTCAGTAAGTTGCTGGTATTGACTGTTTGAAACATGATTCCTGTCAAAACAGCTGTGGGTGCTAAATTGCTGTTGACTGTTTTTGACTTGACAGTCCTTCTGATTTGAAAATCACAGGCGTGTGGAAAAAGGCACACCTGGACTTTTCTAGGTGTGTATTTTTTCTAGGTGTGTGATTTTCTAGGTGTGTGATCTGTAGTCCAGGGAAATTCAGGCATGCAATTGTTCACACTTCACGGGAAGCTTTTAGGTGTGCGATGGTGTGGGGGTGTGATCGCACGCCTCAAATCAGAAGGACTGACTTGACAAAGTGCTGTCCACAGTTGGTGTTTGGTATTGACTGAAACATGATCCCTGTCAAAAAATCCCCCCCCCCTCCCCAAAAAAACCCCTACCTTTTACCCTGTTTTCAAATGCCATGAAATTGGAAGCAGAACTTTTTGGGTGGGGGCCTATTGGTATTGTCAGCAATTGGTAAGTGGCTGGTATTATCAAACAGCTGTGGCTACTGTGTGGCTGTTGATTGTTGTATTGACCATATAAAGTATTGTATGCAAGTGGCAGGCATTGTCAAACAGCTGTGGCTACTGTGTGGCTGTTAATTGTTGTATTGACCTGATAGAGTATTG